TTATGGTATGTAAATTCCGCAAATAAAGTTTTCATGCTGACACTTGTCTGCCACTTTTTTCTAAGCGAAATTTTTTAATAAGGCAAATATTTTTTTACTACAGACCTTAGCAGAAGTAACTTTTCAAAATATAATTTTTCACCATCTTTTCAGGAATTTTTCAAAGCTAGTAAATGTAGTATTTTTGAACTTCCTTTATACTACATAGATAGGAAAAATGTTGACGTTTACGCCACTATATTTAGTTTAGCTATATTCCAATTAGTTTCGCTACTAAAACAGTTTTATGCCATATTGGAGGACTGTCCTGAGTTACCCTGCCCGTCCCGAGTAGCCCCAGTTGACGCTATCTATTAGTATGTATAAAGCTAGTCAAGAAATCAAACATTTACTATCTCTAAAAAATCGCTGAAAAAAAGTGTAAAAAGTGCGATTTTGGAAAAGTTCCTCTGCTAAGGTCTGGAGCAAAAAAAAATATTTGCCATATTAAAAAATGTTACTTATATAAAAGTTGCACCCAGGTGTTGGCTTGAAAACGTAATCAACAGAATTTGCCTATCTCATTCCAAAAAAGAAAATGGCAGCCATTTCCGTGCAACGGGGTAAAAAGGGACACCCTTAAAAATGCATTTACAGTAGAACCTCAGTTAGCAAAGGCTCCAGTTAACAAAAAAGTTGATTATCAACAAAGAATTTTGATTACATTTACCTCTCTCAGTGAAAAAAAAATTCACTTGGCAAGAAATTAGCGCATCATCAGTCATCACAAAATTGTACATAGAATGCTACCGTATATATAAAATTGTGCAACAGGCATCATAGAATGAAAAGTAATTGACCTAAACTATGATATATTTCTCCAAAACATATGATGGTTGTCACTAAAACATTATTTTCTGTTTCAAGTATGTTTTTCATGATCTTTTTTGTTATAGTGAAATCACTTGACTCTATATCAAAATTGTGAGAAATTACAAATCATCCTGCAAGCTTACAGATACAGAAGAAATGCTACATGGCTGCTGATATAAAGCTTGCAGTGGACAAGGTCGTTGTCAATGCTCAATGGCATGTCCATGGATACAGTACCTAATATTACATTAATAAAATAGTAATTACTGAATATGGTAAAATCATATCAATAAAGGAAAAATAGGTAAGAATCACAGAAAATGTGATTTATTTTACATCTACATCATCTACAATGAAAGAGGAGGACTTTAGAGTACCTACTGTTAGTAATGGATGAGTTCACTCTGCATGCTTCAAATGTTTTAAAATTAACTTTTATTGCAAGTGTCCCGGATTACCCCGTTCCCAGGGGTAAATCGGGACGGTTTTATTTTGCGTCAGGCACCTTACGAATAGCATATAGAACTTTTTTGAAGATGCCATTCAATAGCCCTCGCAAAGAGCTATAAATTGAGCCTAAACTTGTTTCTGAATTGTTTCATGGTAAGAAGTTATTAACAAAAAATGCTCAAAACTGTCCCTTTGGACTTTTTACCTTGTTTGACGGTACGTTTCCAAAATCTAACTTTCACACTTTTTTCAGTGATTTTTTAGAGGTATTAAATGTAAGATTTTTTAACTTGCTTTATGCTACATAGATAGTAAAAATGTTGAACTTTGCGCCACTATTTTTGTTTTGAAATATTTCGATTAGTCTAGCTCAGTGGTTCCCAACGTGGGCGATATCGCCCCCCTGGGGGCGGTGGAAAGATTTTGGGGGGCGGTAAGGAAGAAGAGGGCGATAGGAGGCGGTAGTCCAAAGTCGAAGTCAGAAGTTTGAATGTTTGTTTGACGATTTGTACACAACACGTGCAGCACATGACTCCCAGGTCCCAGCGATAGTTTTGTCACCCAGATCTGTTTTTTTAACATCTCCTGGCTTAACGTCTCGGACAAATTAACGGCTGGACTCGCAGCTGGTCTCATGCCCAATTTTCAAATTCAATGATCAAAGAATATCTCTCAAACTAATGAACTTAACTCGATGAAACTTAGTACACGTATTCATTTGGACCTAACGATAATGTTTAGCTTGTGAAAATTGCTTGAATTTTGCCATATTTTGTTTTAGTCATAGTTATATGGCAATATGGGCCGAAATTCACAGTGATCAAGTAATTTCTTCCAAACTACCAAACAGATTCTAACAAAATTTTGAATTTACAGTCCTAACTGCCAAACGGTAATGTTTAGGTCGCGAAATTTTTTTTGATTGCGCCATCATTTGCGAGTGTTTTTTATTTCACCTTCATTTGTGATTTAAACAACAATATGTGTTTAAATTCGCAATAATCAAGAAATTTTTTCCAAACTGCTGAACAGATTTGAACAAAGCTTAGTATTTAAATACCTAACCTCAGCAATGGTGATGTTTAGCTCGTTACCGTAAAATGGGGTAACTTAGACCACTTTTTTTCTTATAAATGATGTCATTTTCTTACTAGCTAAATTAAACTTGAATTGAAACATGCAAAATACAGGTCTATACTCTAGCTTCACTCACCTTTAATTTTTTAACCTATTAGATATGCAAACTTTTTAAATCTTTCTATTGTGTTATGTAGCCTCGGTATTAGGCCTTTAATGCCCATTGACAAAATTTTTCTATGTCAAATAGTTTTTGAGTTGTAGGGGTTTTTGTAGAAAAAACGAAAAGTGGTCTAAGTTACCCCGCCGGTCTAAGTTACCCCATTTTACGGTACATTTTTTTTTTGCCTTTGTTTGCGAGTTATACGGTTATAAGGCTATACGTATAAGGCTCTTGGTTAAACCGGCCGGTAGAAAAGCCGGTCGTTCCTCCAATATCTGTATAACTCACGAACGAAAGCAAAATAAATAAATTGTCATGAGCTAAACACCACCGTTGAGAGGTTAGGTATTTATATGCAAAGTTTCATTGAAATTTGTTGGAAGAAATTTGTAGTTTGGAAGAAATTTCTTGATCGCCGCGAATTTAAGTGACAAATTACCCGGCGATATGGGCCGAATGTAAGGAAGTGTGAAATCAAGAATGACGGTGAAATAGAAAAAGTCTCGCAGACGAAGGTAAAATCTAAAAAAATTGTATAAGCTAAAAATCACCATTTGGTAGTTTGAAATGTATATTCAAAATTTCGTTCAAATCTGTTCAATAGTTTGGAATAAATTCTCTGATCACTGCAAATTTTGGCCCCTTTCGCAATACACGCGTAACTCACGAATGAAAGTGACATTTAAAAAAAATTACAAGCTAAATAACACTGTTAGGTTCTGATGAATACATAATCCAAGTTTCATAGAGCTGCATTCATTAGTTTGGGAGATATTACTTGATAATTGAATTTGGAGATTGGTCTTGAGACCGGCCACAAGTCCGGCCATAAATTTGCCCGAGACATCCTAGGTTTCTAGTGCTGAAACAGTTAAAACAGCTGAAAAACATATTGGTTCACTAAATGGGGTTCTATTTTTGAAGTACACATTTGTGTTTAACCTTTCTCTTTTAAAATTGCAGTGTACTAAACTTCAAGAAAGAGGCGTATGTTTTTTATATGTGTCTGTGGGGGGTGCTAGAAATTCACTAGGGAGCCAAAGGGGGCGCCAGCTTGAAAAAGTTTGGGAACCACTGGTTTAGCTGCTGCAACATTTCTACAAACTGTGGGACAACTGTCCCGATTTACCCTGCCCATCCCTTATTACCCCATTTGATGGTATGCATATAGATCCATAACTACTAGATGCAAGAGGCAATGCATCTTTTATACATATAGTTACTGCACTCTCTATAGAATTTTGAGAAGAAGATGACAATTTTGATGTATTACAGAGGTTTCGTGTATGATTATGATTAAACATAAGAGTCAAGAAGTATTTGGCTACAAATCTAAGAACTACCTCTATTATGATAAGAAACTTTAGAGATTATGCCAAGCCAGTATTTACCTATGTATGCTCTGATGATTTTTACTAGAATAGGAGAAAACTTTTGTTGGAACATCTTGCTTCTCTGGTGTTTTTATGTTTAGTAAATGCACTGGATAAATGAATTCCAAATTCCTAACAGTACTGTACCGTAAAATGGGGTAACTTAGACCACTTTTTTTTATAAATGATGCAATTTTTTTACTAGCTAAAATATACTTGAATTGAAACATGCAGAATACAGGTCTATACTCTAGCTTCACTCACCATAAATTGCTGGCTCCTGCCTCTCAAAGTCTTTATGTAATTCTAAAAAAAGTGATGGTCTTTGTTACCCCAGCTCTTGGGGTATCTTAGACCGGGTGGTAAAATCAATTATATTTTTTGGTAAAATCACTCCAAATAACTCCAGGTTTTGGTGCATTGTAGCAGAACTCTTCTAGTTACATATGCAAATGACAAACTTGAGGAAAGTTAGTTGCATAGTTTGCAAATGGGGGGTGCCGCCCCATAATGAGAGAAATGTGACTACCTAATGGCAGCCCTGATGGGGTAAATATTGACTGACTTGGAAATTAAGTTAAAATTACCATATATAAGACTCTGTAGAGTCTGAAACATAATGAAAAACATAAATAGGCTGTCGAACATAAAATATGTTATATATGGTAATTTTATATTAACTTCCAAACCAGTCTATGTTACCCCATTTAACTAATAGCTTTTTTTCGTGGGTCACATTATTAATTTTTTAACCTATTAGATATGCAAACTTTTTAAATCTTTCTATTGTGTTATGTAGCCTCAGTATTAGGCCTTTAATGCCCATTGACAAAATTTTTCTATGTCAAATAGTTTTTGAGTTTTGGGGGTTTTTGTAAAAAAAAAATGAAAAGCTGTCTAAGTTACCCCGCCGGTCTAAGTTACCCCATTTTATGGTACATTTGATTAAAAACATTTTTATCAGTGCATTCAAATTTGAGGTAATAAAAATTATAATATTTATTGTTTGCAATTCATTCCACATTTATAATTTTAAAATGCACCTTGTGAGAACAGTGATTAATGATTTTCATTTGGTACTACTCATATTCCCCCAGGCATCTGCTGCAGTTCATTTTCACTGCTTGTGGTCAACTGTAACAGGCTTCCCAAGTTTTCAACATTATCAAAGTTCAATCAACTCCTGAAGCCTAGTCCTCCCACAGCCACACATTTTAACAATACTTTCTTCAAAATCTACTATCAGGAAAGTCCAATATTTCAGCTGAAGTGTTCAGCTTCTAAGGCTTCAATTATTTCAGCTCAGTTCTGTGAGAGGAAGACAATATTTCCTGGAACTTTTTCAGCCTGTGTAGCAATGAGTTCCACAAAGAGAGCACTAGAAGGAGGTATGTCTCCTCCTTCTAAGATCAGATTATGTCACACAGCTGCTCAAGAAAGTGTAAGTAATTCTTTCGATGCTGAATCTTGCACTAGTAATAATGTTGATGACTTGGAAGAAGGAATTTCCATGTCTGAAGGTGATAGCAAAGAAGAGCTTGAAACTCCCAGCCAGACTACAAAATTGGGTAAAAAGTTGAACACGGCAAGAATGATAAGGTATAAAATACAGGAATTAGAAGCTGAGAAGGTCAAGCAATCATGTAAGAATTTTGATAAGTTACTTAAAGATGGAAATTACCTTGAGGAATTGAATTCTATGGATACTACATTTGGAACTGAAGTTAGGTCATCACATGAAGCTGCAAGTGTCTTAGAGGTAAAACCTTGCCCTATCACACCTGAAGAAGAAGATGACCAAGAAGATGGAATGTATGCTGCAAAGAAGAAGAAGAAGATGTTTGCTGTGCTCATTTCCTATTCAGGCAAAGGATTTTATGGATTACAGCAGTGAGTTCAAAATAATACATTTTTATGGACTGTTTTGAAGTTAAGTTTCTGGTAAGTTATTTTCATCCTTTTTTAGTTACTTATTTTTTTTTTGCTCCTGCTGCCATATAAAAAGACTTTTTCTCCTTACATCCTGAAGATGTGTAAATACTTTGCTTCCCATCTGATACATACATATGCTATATGCATATGTATATACTGGAACTATACACTGTTTAAGTCACTAATGCTACTGATTAATTAAAAATTTTTGTTTCACCAAATTTTGAAATTATTTGCCTGTGAGCAGCAACCCTCCCCATCGTACCATTGAGGGAGAACTGCTCAAGGGGATGGTCAGTCTAGGGTTGCTCTCAGAAACTGAGTGTAACAAGCTCCAAGCCGTGAACTTCCAGAGAGCAGCACGCACTGATAAGGGAGTTTCTGCTGCCAGACAAGTTGTCAGTGTCAAGCTCCCAATAGGTAAACTTAGCAATTTTCTAGAAATGAGTACGGTAGTCTTTTGTCTCTAATTTACCAAGAATATAACAGGATCATCTTGATAATTATAAAACTCAGCTTATCCTTTTTTTAGGAAATTTTAGAACTATTTGAAAACTATTATCTAAAAAAACTATTGTTTTTTATTATTTTATGAATAAGCATCTCAAATCTGATATCTGAAATTGTTTTTATTTGCATCAGGTGATGGAGATGAGAGCAAAGTCTTGGGTGAGCTCAACTCTCTGATGCCTCCACAAATTCGGCTCATGGATATCAGAAGAGCAATACGGAGCTTCAACAGCAAGAACTGGTGTGACTGTCGGACATACTCATATCTGACTCCCACTTATGCTTTTGCCCCAATGGACCAAGTAAGTGGCGGTTATCTCTCAACTAAGTCAGGCAAGCTGGGTTGTCAATGGTTGGAATCTTTTAAGGGTAATATTTTGGTTGTTGCAGAAATCTAATTCGGAGACATGATTTTTGACAGTGAATCAGGTTGACATTTCCATTTAATTAATCGAATTGCTATCAATCTACATTTTATTAGTTGTCAGAGAAGAGCATGCTTGAATCATTCATTCATTTTTATCAAAATGGTGAATAAATGAAAAATTTTGAAAGAGCAAATTTTAAACTCCCTTATGTAGTACAGGCAAGCAAACTAGTTTTTATGTTTTAATATAGCATTAAATGTAAATATTTTGCTCATACACTACTTTTTGGAAGCACTGTGCTAGCCAACATATCACACATGTAATTTTGTCTCAAGTGTTCATTGTACCATCATTGATCAGTTTTGGCTTCTTATAGATTGCCAGCGAGGAGTACCGCATCTCTGAAGCCACCCTAGCTGAGGTGCGACAGCTCATGTCTGAATATGTCGGCACACGCAATTTTCATAACTTCACCATCAAGAAGTCAGTTGGGTTTTTTCACCCCTGTTTTTATTATTCATTAAAACTTTATTTTGTGTGTAATGAAATAACATGTGTGTCTAGATGGAGGTTCATGTTGTTAAAGATGAACCTTCAAAATGCTGCATGTGTTTGATTAGCATTATCACGAAGCTAGGCACCTATTGATGTCAAGAAGTCATCAGGACATCATCCAACAGGAAAGTCAACATCAATTACTGCACCTATTTCCCTTCAGCACTGTTTATTACTCACATTTAGCATCTGTTTTTAACAAAGAAGTTGGGACAGATGGATGGATCACGGAAGTATCAGCCATTGCCGGGATTTTTCATACAATTTCGGTTATTCTAATATTGTTGATAACATTATTTTTGAGTATATCCATTAGGGACAGGAGTTGGAATTAAAATTGTTTTTTGAATGTATAGTGATCTTGATTGAAAGTAAAAAAAAGCTTGACGATTGATGTTTATCAAAGTTTAATGTAAGACTTGTATTTTTTAACGTATTAATGTAAGACCTGCATTTTGAATGTATGTATTAAATCTAAAATATGTAATTGTGTTGAATGTGAGTGAGCCCTGCAGTTGAGATTTATGTGAGAATGTGAAACTTGAAATTGCGTGGAATGTGAAAACTGCAGATGTGTTGATTAAGAGGCTTGCAACTGCAAAGAATATGAGTCTTGCAGATGTGTGGAATGTGAGACTTTCAGCTGTGTGGAATGTGAGGCTTGCAGCTTTATGGAATGTAAGACATTAAAATTTGATGATTATGATACTTGAAATTGCAGTGGCTGTGAGATTTTCAAGTGGAGCTCCTAAAGTAGTGCCATTTTAATGTATTGCGTCTTATTATGCATTGGTGTTATCAGGAAAGCCACTGAAGCCAATGCCTACCGTTTCATCCAGCTTGTTGAAGTTGATGACCCGTTTGTCAGGGAAGGAGTTCAGTGGGTCCTCATCAGAATTAAAGGTATGCGATTTTCTGAACTTAAAGTGACACCAACTGTCATTCAAGTCTGTACTCGAATGTCACAAATATCCCTCTATTGATTGTTATTACGTGAAACCTTGTCAAAATTGGGTCTTCAGGTGAATGAAAAATGATGCACTGAGGGGGTCTGACACAAAATAAATACCATTCCAATTCTATTACAGATGACATTTATGTTATAACCTAAGAATCTGGCTAAAGTACCTCATTCAACATGTCAAGATTGAAACCAAATTCTGTAGCTTGCTTATTTTCTGCTGCATATTTTATTGTTGTTTGTGACTGCAGGTCAAAGTTTCATGATGCATCAAATTCGAAAAATGATTGGCCTTGTGATGAGCATCTGTCGTGGCCTGACGCCCACCTCGGTGCTGGCCAAGAGCTTCACCCACGACAAGATCGAGACTCCCAAAGCTCCAGGGTTGGGGCTGGTGCTCGAGCAGCCCCATTACGATAGCTACAACAAGCGTTTTGGGGAAGATGGCACCCACAAGGTACTGCCATTGATTCTATAAATGTCCGCGATTTTTCCTGCCATGGAAGAACGGAATCTTTTTCTGCTTAAACGAACCAAGAGAAGAGAAGATTATTGTAAAAGGGAAATTTATATGAATGGACTAATTTAGTTTTTGTTGACTCTATGTCAAGTTTTATACATTTGTTATTATAAGATGGTCACCTGCGCGGTAGTCAACTAAATTGAAGTTATTCATGGCAAAGTTATAAACTAGAAAGATAATGCGTTGCGGATTATCGAGTCTCACACTTTAAAATAAATTAAGACTTTATTTTATGAAGTTTTTGAGCATATCAAATTATATATGATATACCTAGATTATTAGCAGCAATGATTTAACTATCCCACTTTTTTTTCTTTTATAAAAATATTTGAATTCATTTCACAAAATCCAGGTGCCCAGCAGTGGGTTGGTACGTAGTTGCAGGAATACCTTGAACTTAATTTCATTCTGGCATTTGTAAATCATTGTTTCTTTATCTTGATCTAGCCCATTGACTGGAGCGGATTGGAAGACCAAGTATCAAGTTTTCGGAAGAACTTCATTGACCGAGACATCATCGAGACTGAAATTGCAGAAAAGAGCATGCTGGAATTTCTTAGAATTCTTCACATGTATTCCTTCACTGATGGCGTGAGTTACGAAACAATGACCGTATCTTAGGTTACAGTGGTTGGGTTGTACATGAAATGTCTTAAATAACATTGATCTCACCCATAAACTTTGCTTCATACTATCTGCTTTGTTCTCTATTGATTGCCCTACTAAATTATCGTAATAGTTTGTTGCATACATTTTTATGCTTCCCTAAATCAGGTAGATTTCTTATTTTTAAACCAAGAGCCTTTTGATTGATTTGCAAAAATTTCATGTTTTATTTAGATTTCTGGTAAAAGTATCCATTGATATTCACTTTTCATCTAATATAATTTAATTTTCACCTCACCATACATATAGGAAAGCATTCCTAATAATGATAGTTGTTTAATGTTGGTACATATTAATAATTTTAATTTTGATGTGCAGCTAAACATTTGAAGATATGTAAATAATCTCTCCAAACAAATTGACTTGATTCTTTTGACGTTACCTTTTGTTTTGACGTTTAACGTTTTGACTTTCATGATATGTACATTAAATTTTGGATAGTCTTTAAAATACGACAGTCATACGCAAAACAGTATACTTGGCTGAGCAGGTTGGCTCCGGTATCAGACGAGCAGATGCATTGCTCACGAGCTACTTGAACAAGCCTGATGACCTCAACGATGAAGATGACGCTCAGGATCAAATTAATGACGGCGCTGAGAGCTTGCCTGATGGACAAAAGAAAATAAAAAAGCACTTCATCGCCAAAAGCAAGAATTGTCTGGCCGAGGATGAGGAAGAATCTCTCGTAGGTGGCAAAACTAATTTAAAAAATGTTGCATATGATGAAAACGGGGACTGTTCACAGTTTTTCGAAAAATCTGAAAACTTAGAAGATAACAAATCCTATAAGTCAGAACATGTGAAGTCGAACACAGGCCCAGAGAGTTCTGTATCTGAATTGCCAGTGGTAAATGATACTGATAAGTCGGTTATGTCAAGTAGCAGCAATCCATCGATGGAAAATTCATAACAAGCTATCACTTTTTTCAGCTTGAATTTGTATTTGGCGCATATCGCGCCTTATGGGTGAGAAATGTCTATGCCTGACTTGGAATATGAAGAAGCTACATGAGATATTGGCTTTCGGTTGTAATAATTGAAAGAACTGATCTTCCTCGAAACATGAAAGAGTTGGTTAGGCTTTCGTATTGGTGCAAAAATTTTCATTGGCAAACTTTATGGATGCTTTTTATTTATCTATTTACTTATTATTGAAATCGGCACGTCAAGATTATAATCGCAGTCCTCAATACCCTTCAATATCAGTGTTTTATATGTCATTCCATGTCAAGTGTACTGATGCGTCCCTCTGACCATCACCAATTTCGATGAAAATTCTCACTTGTCTTTGTCATGCACTTGGTGCTGTTGGTGGCAAAGCCTACTTGTTTGTAATGCAGTGTCGCTGGCATGACACTATGGGGGCTTTTTATATTTTATTTTTTTTGAGAGAAGCTCTTGTTGATCTTTTCTAAGTATGTTACTCACCCTGGTTGTTGTATGATGGATGTGAAGCCTTTATTCTTACCATTTGATAAATTGTTAGTACTGCGCACGAGTAACGCAGCGCTGCTGGCCATGTGGGCGCGTCTGCTGTTTGTACACGATCCGCTTGATGCAGTATTGTGAATACATGTAAACTATACAGCGCGTGTTTTTCTATTATCAGCTCTTTGTATATGCGTGTTCATTCATTTTACTGAGACATTCCAACAATTATTTCAGCTTTGGAAGAACAGGAGCTACCTGTTGAATAATTACAATTTCTAGCATATGGAATAAGTTGATGTGGATAAGTTTTAATGATACTAAGTTGCAGCCGCAGGGGAGTGGAGGATTTGAGCAAAAAAATTAAGATTCTACCAACGTTGCAGTACCCGATTACAGCAAATTTAGTTGAAATGTCACTGGTTTCCTTTCTCATGCTGCCTCAATCATAAAATAGCTGCAGCTCTGCGCGAATGTATTTCTTGGTTGTAAACAAATTTTCTTAATTCTTATCCACAATTCGATTTTTCTCTTCGAATATATTTTGTTGCTTCCTAGCTTGATGCTGTTTCTATCTCACATCTGCGTCATTCTTCTCGCTGCACGTTATAACCCTGGCTAAAGCTAAAATTATCTAACAAGTGCCAAATAATTCATTCATAGACTTCCACAACGTCTAATTTTCTTTGCTCATACCCACCAAGGGAGTTCCATGACACCTCCCCGGCGCCCTAGTCAACCTCGTTATCTTGGCTTAAGATTGCGATGGAAGTATGTAGAGTCTCGGCTAAAGGCAACTCGTGACATGCATAACTTTAATGGGCCGTGTATTATGTAGAAGTGTGTGTGAACTGGTCCATTGTTTTGCACTGTATCAGTTATGCTAGTAGGTGCACTTCACTATGTTGTAATAGTTCCTTTATTTGCTCCCAAGATTGTAGTACGTTCGTAATTAGATAGGCTGTAACCTTATGAGTTAGCAGTTTTCTCATTGCTTTTATTTCTAGAGAATTTATTAGTTATGGCATCTCCGTCGTCGAAAAAACTTGAAAGCGACTCCTCACAGTCTAGAACAGCAGGTAAGAAACTGAAACGTTTGATATTCAACTTTGAAAGAAATCGTTTCAGAGCCACTTTGTTGATTAACCACGTGAAACATTCACTTTCCTTTTCATGTATTGGATGGTGAAAAAAATTGCCCGTAGTTATATAATTAAATAAGTAACATATAACGCCTATCACTGTTACTCGGTCAGCAAATAAAGTACTTAGTCTTTCTACGTGGCATGTTTGATCGTAAAGGAATCAAACTTGTCACTAGAGCAAATTTTACCATCTAAACCATCGTTGTCACTACGCCGTAGCCTCTAGTCATCACTTGTGCCCCATAATCGTGGTTATTGAAGGGGTCACTGAACCATAGTCATGACCTTAGCGCGAGACCTATTGCTTATTATATGGCCACTGACGTATATTCATCCCTCTATAGACAGCGTGCCAGATGACAGCGGTGTGTTCGACGCGTGTCCTTCAGGCGCAGACCTCAACAGCGAGGGTGCCGTTGCTGATGGCAAAAGCGCCGCTTCTGATAGTGGAGATGCCGGTGCTGATGCCGTTGGTGCCACTGCTGATGGCGGTGGTGCCACTGCTGATGGCGGTGGTGCCACTGCTGATGGCGGTGGTGCCACTGCTGATGGCGGAGGCGCGGCAGCTGATGACAGCGGCGTTGCTGAAGCAGACGCCGGTGTCTTTGAGTCACTCATGTCCCTCATCGAACAGAAGCTCAAGCTGAAGAAAAGTGATGGAGAAGAACCTCCGGTAAATTACTGCCTAGTCAATTGATTGTGCATGAAGAGTGACCAGGCTCATGCTTTAGTACTCTCTTATTTATTTGGAACCTCTGCTGTAAGAATAGTTTAGGCATATTCAGGTGAAAACGAAAAATTTGCTTGAATCGGTCGTATATAGAATAATGCCAAGTTGTTTAGATTTTGAATGACTGAAGTTAACGAATATTTTTGCCAACAAAAATTTCAGTGCGTAGCTGATTTTATGATTTTACGATCAGAAAGACACAGGGAGTATTGCTTGGTTTTCTTTTGCCGCATGTCTCATTAACAAAAGTAAGGCATGAAAGAGCGCGTGGTGTGCAGGTGCTACAATCAGTGGACGTGGCTGGCGTGGTGGCGTTCATGCAGAGCGGCCGCTGCAAGAACATCATCACCATGGCGGGCGCCGGCATCTCCACCTCTGCAGGTGAACTGTACTCACACTTTGTCCTTGTCACCTTGCTCTTAGTAACTCGCGTTTCCACTTTGTTCTTGTCACCTCGCACTTACGTATAGTCCTGTAACCTCGCACTTGCTTATAGTTCTGTCACCTCGCACTTGCTTATACTTCTGTCACCTCGCACTTGTTTATACTTCTGTCACCTCGCACTTGTTTATACTTCTGTCACCTCGCACTTGTTTATACTTCTGTCACCTCGCACTTACGTTTGATCCTGTCACATCGCACTTCCGTACAGTCCTGTCACCTCGCATTTACACAATAGTTATTTTCACCTAGCATTCGAACCAAGTACTGTTGCTCAGTGTCTAATTATCCTGACTCCATGAAAGTAATTTTCTCGGCAATCGTATTTGTTGACCGTTTTCTTGAATGGCATCAGTTTAAATCGTCTACAAGAAACTCACTTCCTGCATGGTGCGTAGTTCAAGAACTGTCCTCTTCTTCCAGGCATCCCTGATTTCCGATCTCCTGGCAGCGGCTTGTACTCAAACCTACAGAAGTATGACTTGCCGTATCCTGAAGCAATTTTCGAACTCGGATTCTTCCGGCAAAACCCTCAACCTTTTTTCACCCTGGCCAAAGAGCTCTACCCAGGCTCCTTCAACCCAACACCTAGTCATTTCTTCGTCAAACTGCTGGAAGAAAAAGGGTTATTGCTGAGGCACTACACGCAGGTAAAGTTCATGTGTTCAACTACTGGGATAATGAAAACAGACTGTTCTCAGAAAATCACCACATTGTATCACTTCATTAGAGTCTAACTTGTGCTGAAAGAATGTTAATTGGTTTGCAAAAAATTCATTAGAAAGAAGCATGTTAGTTGAGTGCTCATAGTTCAATTCGTTAGCATCATACAAGTTGGGCCGATTCTAAATACCTGCATTCGAAACCAAAGACCCGCGACCAAAAAATAGTTTACACTTCAGTTTCCTCTTTCCTTTGACAGAACATCGACACTCTGGAGCACGTGGCTGGCATCAGTGAAAGTAAACTAATCGAAGCACATGGCAGCTTCCGGACCGCCCATTGTTTGGGCTGCCGAAAATCTTACAATCAAGATTGGATAAAAGGTGAGGTCCCATGTTACGAGATAGCAAAATACTTTGTGACAGTGATGTTTGTATTACTCAACGACACTGAAATAGTTACACTTTATTAAGCGAGTGAATAAGATAACTTCTATCAATTAAAAGTAACAAACGGCTACGTGCTCGAAATTAATAATGCGATCTGAGAAGCACTAGATTATTGTCAAAGCAAGAGAGAAGTTGAAACATGTTACAGGGAAGCTTCTATAGGGCGGGCGAATGACTACTCTGCAAAACATGTCCATCATTTTCAGTCCACCAAACGTTGACGATTATATGTTTTCCTTATTTTTTTGCAGACGAGGTGTTCGCAGACCGCGTGCCATCGTGTGAGAGCTGCGGCGCCGTGGTCAAGCCCGACATAGTCTTCTTCGGCGAAGCACTGCCCGACAGGTTCTACAAAGCCGTGGCTACCGACTTCCGGAAGTGCGATCTTCTCATCGTGATGGGGACTTCTCTCACCGTCCAGCCCTTTGCGTCACTCATCGACAAGTGAGTCATCTCACGGGCCATACCGCGATAGTTTGCAATGTACTCACTGCAGCCATCACGCAGTTGAACGTTCGGCACACAAGGCCCTCACACGATAGAGGTTCGATGCATGATTACTCTGTCAGTTTTGCAGGTTGCTTTCGGGATAGAAATCCACTGCTGTCGGAATTCATCGTCATTCTCTATAGGCCATTTTGACCTCGCTTCATTATGTGTTACTAATATTATTGTACTGATAAGTATTCAAAGATCACTGTTATAATTAAGTAATTGATAGTCTTGTCAACTTGGGCGCCTGTGGATACTTACGATTTAGTTCAAATTCAATTAAGACTTTGAATAATTTCCTATTAACGAGTTGAAGATTGTAATGGATGATTTCCTCAGCGTGCCACCGAAGTGTCCTCGTCTGCTGATCAACAGAGATGCCGTGGGCGTCACGGGCGTCGCCGCCACACTGCAACGGCTCATGGGTGACGAATATAAACTGGCATAACTTTTTTTTATTCTTGTCATCGAAAACATCTGAAGTATATGTATTAAATTGATATACCTACTTAGCATAAATATAACAACTACAATACATGGGATTGAAGTTTAATTTGTTCTGGGATATTTTATTATAAAAAATGTCTAAAATTACAGGAAAGGGGCAAGCATTCCAGCCGTCAAAAAACAAGCGCGACGTCGCGCTCATCGGCGACTGCGACGATGGATGCTTCACCCTTGCTCGGCAGCTGGGCTGGCAGGTGCGTTGTTGTCAGGACGTAAAGACGGACTGATGACCGTCGCGTAGCATTTCCGTTGTGGGCATGGCACTCGGGTAACGAGAAATTATGGCTTAAGCCAGGACGGAATGAAAGTATTAGATTGAGCATCACGTGAAATAAGGGACGTTTTCTGGTGAATATGACAGTTTTAATTGAAGTTTAGTTAGTAAGTAGTTGCTATTTCCTGGCAGATTTGTGAGCACCGTAATAGCGACGGCAGGGATAGGATTTCTTAATTTTTTAAATTGAAAGATATCGTAGATGCTTCTTTCCGTAACTAACTTACGCACTTTTTCAGGATGATTTACAGAGGTTAATCACGGAAGGCAAGAAAAAATCTTGAAATTCGTGAAGCAAACGGTCGTGCTATGCCTGATCGAGCCCTACTTCATTCCTTCACCTTCTTTGTTATCGCTGCTTGCACAAGGCAATCAACGTAAGCGATCCATTAGTCATTCGTCACTAAAACGATATAATAGGAAAAAGGCATATTGTCACATATGAAACTTGCCACAATTGTCACAGTCAAGTAAATCTTACCAGAATGTTTCCATTCATAAATTGTATCATTTTCATTAGTGGCCGTGAGTTCAGAATGGTGATAGCTTTTCTATCTAAATATGACCCCACACTGAGATATTATTAGATTAGTAGGCCAACCTATTGTTTTCTATCCATGGCATCGGTTGTCATCATCAGCTTAGTGAATTTAAAAGTAAAGCATGAGAAACAAATGTGCATCGAGGTTGGTTATTGTGTTCGAAATCTTATTGCTACAAAATCTGTAATTTAATTCTTCATCCATGAACCAAACCTCGAAGTGTGAATATGTGCAATACTGTACGGTGATTTTCTGCAAATTTAAAAGGTTTGTGTAGGTACAGTGAATGTCATTGTTTTATATTTCATTTATTCACGAAATTATCACAGTCATTTGGCCAATAGAAGTATATACAAAAACTTTTAGGAAAACTCGTGGTATTTAACGTAATTACGTTGACGCCCCCATGGCATTCAATTGATTTATAGATAATGTATAAAATGATTAGATCTAGAAACATTTTTTTTCCACCATAAGATGCGTCATTTTTGTTACTATTTATTTAATGTACCAACTAGAGCATGCATATTCATCAATTTAATAAAATCTATGCCTATAACAAGGATATTATTTGCCGTTGTGTCGAGTTATGCTGGCCATGAGAAGCTTTTCACGCTCCTAGGTGGAGTTTTTGAGCCTCTTCATTTGTTGGGGCACGTTGAGTGCTGCAAAAAAAAGTTACCCAGTATTACATAATTGGCGAGTAGCCAAAATAATTATCTAGACATAAAGTACATATAATTAACATATTTCTTCACGCTAGGAATACTGGGGCATGTCTCAATTTTCAACAAGAATCACCTGGCATCCATTCTCAGCGTCTCGTGCATTCCTGACGTTGTGTCAACTCCCTAAGTAATAAAATACGTTTTTCATTCTATAATAATGAATGGTTATCAACTGATTTGACTTGATCCAACTTACAATGGCTTTGAGGGTGCGTGAAGTTTATAGGAAGATTTGATCAACATCATCAGCAGAAACAACACATGATAAATTTCAAATTAATTGCGTTTGCTACAGCTTTGAAGACCATCAAGCGATCTAGAAATACATATCCAGGCAACAAACGAGTTGCAGTACGTTAATAACATCGTAATACCGACCTGCTTCCGCGAGGCTCCTGGGCAGGTGGTCGAGGAGCAATTCTAGCACGTTACCGTCAAGCCTGCAGCCATCCAGGGCCACGATAGCGTCCCTTGCGGCGTCAACGTAGTAGAATCTGCAATATTACTTTCCTTTAAGCACCATATAGAGAAATACAAAGAAAAAGTTTGCAAATATTTGAAATTACGGATTGAAGCAAGCTGCTGAACTACTCTTACTTTGCCCATAGATGAACGTATAAATGAGCTCTTTACACAAAAATTCTAATACCTGACTTGAGCGGTGGCTTCGCTAGCTCCAGTCAAGCTGTTCTTAGGAATGTAGACATCGGCGATGGCTTCGCTGTAACATCGAAAGAGATGATGCAGATCATTTTCTGCCGTTCTCGAAGTGATGTTCTTCACGAGAACAGTGGCCAGAGCAGTTTTGTGAGGCCGACGTATTTTCGGCATCGTCGTATCTGCAAAATGTTGAACAGATAAAAACTTATATGATGACGACTTCTGTAAAGCAATAAACAGTAATGAAGTAATCAAATATTGAAACGCTTGTTAGTAGAGCTACTAATGATATGGGTCAGTATACTAATGACAAAATATTTGTGATACAAGCATCATCATCCAGGAACCTGCGTAGTTTGGCAGGTCGAATGGTCGTTATGGATGCAGAAAACATAGTTGTAGTAGTAGTAGTAGTACGTACGTATATTGGTTTGCTAGCGCCTCAGCTATCAAGCTATCGAGTAAATATCGATAGCTATCGTTTACGGTAGCTATCAAGCTATAGTAAACGAGTAAACCTTAACAGAACATCGCAAGAGAAGACACTTATTATTGCGGTATTATCACTTATTATTGCCAGGTAAGTAAGGAATATATCCGATGCTTTTCGCACCGGAGGTCAAAATATAACATTGCCAGCAAGGCGGAAGGTCTCGATTATTCAAAATTATTCACCAGGGCCAATCCCAGCGCGGTCTCCATTTAAAATACAGACAATGGTCCTTAGGTGTTATTCATATGAGTTAGTAATATACAGCCAGTGTAAAAGCTCATGGGTTAGGAGTGCCTGAACTTTGATGCCAGCAAGCTCTGGGTTTTTTAATTTTCAAGTTTACACAGATCAGGTGCAGTTTATATACCCCAAGCTATTTTGTTTAAAAAGAATGAAAGAAAAACTAGGAAACTGGGTTAAAATATCACTTTTAACATACAAACATTTTGTGTGTATAATATCTATAGGCATTGTGATCCCTCAAACTGAGGGTTTTGATGACTATTTTTAAAAAATTAATGATTTACTGTAATCTTGAATATGCAGCGCAAAGAATAACTACTTTATACAATGTACAAGTTGCTCATACATAAGCGTTCAAAAAATTATGTTACACGTGCCTAATAGCAATTCTAATTGAACATGTTAACTGCAATACTTATAGTTGTAAAACTTCATTGTGATTATACATTACTCATCATTTTTCCAACAAAGTTTTCTTGCCTCTTCACTACAGGAGAAGAAAATAATCACTTGAGATATAAAACCAAATAATGTGTTGGAAAGCTATGAATATGCATAGATATATTATAGCTCTATAACATTATATTAAAAATTTGATTAATCTGGTAATTTATTCGTTTCACAACTTCTAACCACTTCTCAAACAGTAGACATATTCCATGGCAGTAATACCTCCTAATTGTTAATGAAAGTACATGATCACAAATTTGGAACATCGGGCAGAAGTCAATTTGTAAGTGTAAGAAGTGATAATAAACAGTGAGTTTATCTGTATTGTATTTCTTTACAACTAAATAAATCAATCATCTTTGCTCTGACATGCTTTTTCTGTATTATATGAAGATAATGTTAGTGTGGTTCTTGTGGAAAAATACCACGCTATCATTTAAACCTGATTTCAATCGGTGGCAGAACAATGAGACACTTTGCGGCGACCCAATTCTCGGGTTGGATTGAATGGCCTTGGCACATATTTCTACAGCTGCTGAGAGTAGAAATAAGCATCGTGGGAACAAAGGTAATATTTTCATCCATACATCCTAAATTAAATGACAATGATTGGATTTGGTAAGTATTTTATGAACCTTGTTTATTTATGGTAATGGAAATGTCATTACTACCATTTCAGAAACTGTTCTTGAATGCACGTGTGAAAACCGAAGTTCTGTAATCAATGGAGTCTCCGAAATGACAAAATCGTAATATTTAAAATATTTAGCAATATGAGTGAGATCATCAATCATCATAGGATCTGTAAGAAAAATTAGTTGTTTTTGATGTAAAAGTATGTTTTAAATTTGAAACAAATTCAATACTTGATTTTCAGAAGTACGATGCAAAAATTAATGATCCATATTAGAATTCAATATACATGATGCTTTCAGAAATAAATTGAAAAAGTTGAAACCTATTTAGAACTTATAATTTTACAAATTGCATAACGCAGTGCACAATTTCAAGATCACCTATGAGTATGAATTTAAGTCCCATGACTGGAGAAGCTTTCAAAATTTATTGTACTATCACGTAAGCGTGATATAAGCTCTTTGGCCTTTTGATGAACAAAGTTTATTTAGGTTCTATTGACCTTAATGGTTAGAACAATGCAACATATCAGCAGCCATTCAACGATCGGTTGACTCTTGATAATGGTGTAAAAATATTGCAGTAGACACATCATCCAAAAGTTTAAATGCAAAGATTCTCATTTAAAGGATAATAAATCAATTCCTAATTGTTTAATCCCTCTTATAGATATAAACAGGGTGGAATTCAAAGATTAGTGGTTCACTTAAAAAAAAGCATTCCTCCTTGAAAAAAATGTTCCAGGTAACTAGAAAAGGGTTTGTAGGCCATCAGAAATTGGCATTGGCATGAACGTTATGTCAGGCAACACAGAGAAGCTGCCAACTCCCAAGATCATTAATTGTGAGTGTCACTCAAAAATAAGCATGAGGGATCTATAGAAGGAATTGCACACGTTGCGCTTGGTAGGAGCAGTTACAAGGTTGCTACTGACACAAGTAGAAACTCATCACTCACCGATGAGCAAGGGAGATCGTTGTGCCCGGTATGAGGTAGGTAGCCAGTAGAGACACGTCACTCTCGGATGAGCAAAGGAGATCTTGAGGAGGCTGCACAACGTTGCAGCCGGTAAAAGACGCACTCTTGATTCTGAAAAAAGTTCTATTAGATCTTGCCAATATACTTGGATTCAAATGTTGCCTACGAGTTGATTCAGAACACTTGATGTATTAGTTGTTCAGAGTTTGACAAGTTGATTCAGAACACACCAAATTATTTTCTTCTAGTCATAACTTTTTTACTCATAAATTGTTTAAATTATTTTTGAAATCATACCTGAAGCCAATTTGGAAGATACGTAAGCATCCAACTCCCAACCAGCTCAAACGAATGCGGTCCGGATTGCATACAAACTATGTCTTTGTATGATGTTAGTAAACTGCACAGGAAGAAAAATATTTTCAAAATTTGCATTTTTAATCTATGAACGATACTTTCACTCTTGTTGATAAAACTAGCATTTATATATAAACAATGAATGTAACCATTTAAAATAAAAAATTGTTGAATTCAAAGATGTGTACATATCGTATAATAAATGATGAAAGTAAAAGGATGAATACCATACCGGAACATTACATTACAAGCTAATTCTTTCATTTCAATACAACCATAGCAATCCAAATATATACAAAAACATAAAAAGGTGCAAAAAGACAAGCAGGGAGCATAGAGACTAATTTGTAGAGTATTTAAAACATGCCACATACCCATGAAAAAATGGAGAGCGTGAATTTAAGTGACGACAAATTAGTACAGTCAACTCGTTGAAGCTGTACCCTAGGTATTTTTCCCAATCAAACTTATGCCCCAAGTTTGTAGTTTTTTTATTGCGACATCTACTACACATCCAGTGGTTAGCAGGCAGTTTGTTCATTTTTAAGCATTTCAGGTGGAATCAGTCAGCTCCTTCAACATTCTTGGCAGCCAAATGATCGAGATACGATTCACATGTCTTCATATTAGCACACCAAATCCATGTAGAAGTTCTACCTCTCTTTCTATCTCGTTCGTCACTACTTATTTCACACATGCAGTACACTTGCAGTTTGTTCGTTACTACTGTTCTTTCAAGTTTCTACATTATATGAGGCACTGTCGACCAGGCTTTCTTGACATTCTTCTGGTTGTAGCAATATTTGTTGTTAGTTGCAACCAGATTCACGCTTGCTGGGGGAGTGGCTCAGGTGGTGGTTGGGGGGGAAGGCATCAGAAGAGGGGGGAGATGGGCAAAGGCAGGGAGGGCGGCCAGGAATGCCACTGCTTCCATGGGGCTGTCCCACAGTGAGATGCTGAGGTATGTGGGGAAGGCGTCACAGGCAAAGAGATGCTGGACGGACTGGAGGGGATCCCCACTATCCAGGCAGGCGGAGCTAGGGGAGCAATTGATCCTAGGAAAGTAGGGCGCCATGGAGCTCCAGTATCCCAAATGGAGCTGGGATAGCGCCGAATGGTAAAGACAAGGGAGTGAGGCCTCCACTGATGCAATCAGGTGGGGCTGCAAGGATGGCGTTGACAGCATCAGCCGCCGCAATGCAGGAGGCGATCTCCCTGCGGAGGGACTGCTTGGCCTCTCCATAGGGACTGGCAGGCATGATATCTTTAGCAAAGAATGGTGTGAAAAGTTGGCCGAACCTCGACTGGTCAGAGGCTTTCATGGGGCGGTCCCCAAGGGGAGCAGAAGCAAAGCGGAATGAGGTATGGGAGGGCTGGAGAGCGCTGGCGAGGAACTGGGCACAAGCCAGGACCAGGTGAGCGGACAATGGGAGGACGCCGGTCTCCTGGAGAAGATGGGCAATCAGGGCCATTTTGAGGCAGCCGGTGGCTAATCTCAGTGCAGTGTTTTGTATGGTTTGAAGGCTAGCAATAGCTGTGCGTACAGCAACAGGGTACCAGATTGGGGCCGCGTAGTTCAGGATTGGGTGCGTGATGGTTTGGTGGGTGGCAATAATGTCTTCCTTGGAGAAGCCCCAGTTGGTACCAGCAAGGGCTTTCAAGAGGCAAAGAGATCCCATTGCTTTTGTGGCTATGGCTCTTACACGAGGGGAGAACTTGAAGTGTGTATCCCAGGTGACAACTAAGATTTTGGGGGTTTTGTCCAGTGGGATGATGCCGTTGCAGATGGTGGCAGATGGGTGGGATCAGCATTGGTGAGTATCTGGGGTGAAGAGCATGACCAAGGTCTTGCCAGGAGCCATGCCCAGTTACTTGGCAGCCCACCAATTTGAGACAATGTTGGGATTTAGAGGCAATGTTGGGGATTGGCACTGGCATATCAGAGATGACATGGTTAAAGAGGGCTGGCAAGATGACCAAGCCATGGGGAATGCCTGAGTGAATAGCTCTGAAAAGCAATTGTGTTCTGAGGTAGAGACAAGATGAATGCCTGCCTCTGAGGTAGCAGCACAGCCAGCAGACCAAGTTGTGATGTAGGTCAAAGGCTGCGATCATGCTTAGAAGGAGAGGGTGGTCGACACTGTGACTGAGGAGTGTCGCGGTTTGAAACCGTGTAGTGAGGAGATGGTGGTGAGAGATCTTGAGATGAATGGGAGCACAAGACACTCTAGGATCTTGGCTGCAGGGCAGAGGGAGATAGGACGGTATGAATAGCCCTGGTTTCCAGGTTTGCCCGGTTGAAGGATTGGAATAATTATTGTATTTTTACTAATGGATGGGTTAGAGGCTGTGGAGATGGAGATGTTAAAAATACGGGTAAGGAACTGGAAGATAGCGATATTGCACAGCTGATGTCAACTACTTTGTTTGCCTACGTAGATGCATGCATTATAACTTCTTCTGGTTGTACAATGGCTGCTTCATTTGTTGAAGAAGGAAGGACTGAGTCAGAATTGGATGAAGAAGGGACTTCATGTTCCGATTTTTTTGTTAACCAAGAATCAATTTTTCTTTTTTTGCTGCCCACTTTCTTCTGATCAAGAACCAGACATTGCTTGGGCAAATTACGCTTCATGACGTCACTGCCAAGTTCCTCGATGTAATTTGAGATTGTTTTACTTTTTACAGTACACTTCTTTGTTTTCATCAAACATTCTCTATGATTATCACTTAGAAAAATGGTTCGTGCAAGATCAGCATCATGTTGAACCATGTTGGTATTGCACTTTAAAAAAACTTCATTATTCACATTATCAATTAAATCTTTCTCATCAGGTTCTGTCTTGTACACATACTTAGAGTCAAATAGATTGTGAACAGTATTGGCAACATGTGACATCACTCTCTCTGTGGCAGACAGAGTTGGCTTCATGAGCTGGATGATTTCAAGGCAACGAATGATGTTGACTGGATACTTGGATTTGTCGTTGTTACTGCTGATATAATGAGCGAATGCTTCAGTATAGGATTGTAAAGTCTCACTTCCGTGTTTGATCAGTTTGTTGTTGGCTCCAGCTTGCCACTCGCTTCGAAAAATTTCCATGAATTTCAAGTAATCATTTTCTAAGCAAGTGCACTCAAGAAATCCTTTGCATTCATCATCACATGATTCAAATTTTATGTTCACAGAATCAAAAAGGTTTTTTATGGATGCAGAATGTTTGTTTTTGTGAATCGAAAATAAATCTGTTGCAAGACGAATAGGAGTGGGGATTACTAGATAGTTGGGAGCTTCATTACAAATTTCTTCGATCCATTTTGAATTTTCTTCAGTTAGTGAAATCACAGTATCTCTTGATCGTTCAACTTTGTTTCTTGTTTTCAGGTCCAGATTTGAAATTACCTCTTCCAAAAGCACATCGTGGCCGTCTGTAGCATAATTGGTATCAGAGATGAATTTAAGATTTCCATCGTTCAAAAAGCTTTTAATCTCAGGAGAAAGTGACTTTAACTCATTTAAGTCAGGTTTGATGCTTTCTACTTGGTGTTTGTAGTCAAATGGTCCAAAGCAGGAGTCTTTGGCCAATTTTTCCTTGCTGGAGATGGTTTTGTAGACTTGTCGGATCATCATCGCTCTTACAACGAAAGATTCATTTGCAACAAGTTTTAAAATTCTTTTAGCATTTTCTCCAAGGGCATTTGCATCATTCATCAATACTGGTAGAGCTTGAAATAAAATGTGGATGTTCTTCAAAATTGCATCTAAATAATAGTGAAGATATTCAGTAAAATGAGTGTCACATTGATTTGGGATAGCAGTAAAAGTGGTTCCGCGAACAACATTGATGAAGTTGTGAACATGATTTTTAACAATATTGTGATCATTAATGAATGCTACAACAGATCTGCACATGGTTAACGTATCACTGACCCATTTTGGCATGGTTCTGTTCAACAAATTTTCAACTTTATGACAAAAATCGGGGAGTCCAATCAATTTGTGATATCCATCAGAGGCTTTGAGCAGGTCAATGAGGCTGCCTTTCTCTTCAGTGTACACAGAAGCTTTGTCAGTGCAAATGAAAGCAACTGAAGATGGCTCCATGAATAATGCCACAGTTTCTTTCACATGATTTGTTGTTGCCATTGCATCCCCTTGCTGTAGCATTGAAACACATAGAAGAACTTCTTTTGGTAGTCCATTGTCAGCAATGTACGATGCAACAATCACTTGACGAGAGACATCCTTGGGAGCAGTCCCTTTGTCACAACTAATCATGAATTTTCTAGTACTCTTTGTGGCTGGAAAGATTTGAGAAAAATGGTTCTTCATTGTGATGGCACAGGCTCGGTAATTGGCATGCATTATGTTTTGAACTGCCGTGTGCGTGTGATGTTGGTTGCCCAAAGGATGGCTCAAATGTGGTGGGCAAATAATGGCAAGTAGCGTGCACAATGCTGGATATAGTCTAAATGACAATGAATTGGTAGCCATGAATATACCAGCTACCATTGAATTCTTAGTAGCATTTTTGCACTCATCGGTGGTTGGACGTTTGAGTTTCATCTGTTGTTTATCTTCACACCTGCTGAATTTGAGAGCTTCTTGGTGCTGAACGCTTAGCAAGTGCCTCTTCTTGGCTGCATTCTTGCTTCTGGTTTCTGTGAAGGTCATCCCATCACACCAAGATTCTCCACTCTTACAATGTTTTAAAGGATTTTGGTGACTTAGGCACACCTTACAGTAATGAGTAAAGACATCTTTTTCGCAGTCATATTGTGAAACAAAGCTTTTGTCATTCTTTTTTGTGACAATGCTCTTTGAGAGATTTGTCTCTTCACATGCTTCAATAATAAATCCATTGTACATTGTTTTACAACAACAATCATTTTCATGTTTACATTCTTGCAATGCTGCTTGCAGAGAAGCACAATAAAACTTTCTAGCGCATAGAAGCAACGCACAGGCTGAGCACTGAGGTTTGCATATCGGCATTTGCCCAACTGTTCCTCTTGCTGATGCAGATGACTTGCCGACTTTGGTAGGAATTTGCACCATAGGTGGAACAAATGACGTAGTTGAATGAGGAAGACGTAGTTCAGAAGTAGATAAAATTTTCTCATTTGGGAGCAGGGTTGTGTCAAATGAAGCTGCGCTATGTGGTAGCTGGTTTGCGTTACACGAAGTTGCACTATGTGGCAACTGAGTTACGTCAAAGGAACTTGCGCTATGTGGAAGTTGGGTTGCAGCACATGAAGTTGCACTACGTTGCAGCTGAGTTGCCTCAAAGGAAGTTTTGCTCCATGGGAGCTGGGTTGCGTCACATGAAGCTGCGCTACATTGCAGCTGAGTTGCATCGAAGGAAATTGCGCTATGTGGAAGCTGGATAGCATAACATGAAGTTGCACTATGTTGCAGCTGAGTTGCATCAAAGAAATTTTTGTTACATGGGAGCTGGGTTGCATTACATAAAGTTGCGCTACCTTGCAGCCAAGTTGCGTCAAAGGAATTTGTGCTAAGTGGAAGCTGGGTTGCATCACATGAAGTTGCACTACGTGGCAGCTGAGTTGCATCAAAGGAAGATGCGCTACTTTGGAGCTGGGTTGCATCACATGAAACAGTGCTTTGTGGGAGCTGGGTTTTGCCACAAGGGGCAATGGTATTGCAAGATGAAGTGCATGAGGTTGCATGCATGGGGAGACGAGATGTAATAGAGCTAGTTGTCTCAATGTTAGGTGATGCAACTGTCAACGATTTGAATTGGATTACTGGTTTCACACTTGATAACTTATTTTTAACATATTTATTGAAGTACATACGATAAGCATTAATGTGATGACGCTTCAAATGCCGAATCAGGTTTCCACAGCTATTTTGGTAAAAACTTACAGTTTTTTTACCAGTGGTACAAAATTTGCAAGTGGCAGTTAAACACCTGCCATTACCTACTTGAACATTTGTGAACGCAAATTCGATTACAGGATTAGGAGACATGATTTTATGATGACATTTTCATGTAATTATTTGTCAACATCAAAACACCTGAAAAATAAAATTAATTAATGTTTTCAATTGGATGCAGATTATTAGCATTGTTTTTTACTTACAACTGTGGATAGTAAATCACATTCTCATTTTCATCACAACACTTAGTGAAATACCTGTACCTAAACCCTGTAAATGGAAGTCAGGACTGACCATAGAACTAACTGGCTGGGCTAGACTGGCATCAATTGAGTATGAGTACTTGACTATGATGAACTGGCAGTTGAGGTTCAAGCAGCCCCAGACGCTCAATATGGTTTTAATATTTCTTGGTTTGCAACATGGTATTGAGTGCAAACATCTGAATGTACATTATAGCTGCAAAGTCAGTGAGAGCATTTACAAATAAGGAAACCTGTTAATTGTAAGCATCTATATGCTGCTGTCAGTATAAATATATGAAACACTTGCAAGTTTGATGTCATGTACAGTGTACAGCTGTGGCTCATCACACTGTACGGCGTATGCCACCTCCCAATCATGTAAACTAGTAGTTCAACTCCTTTGCAGTTGCCAACTCCTAGCAACATGTTAAAACTAGTACCGTAAAATGGGGTAACTTAGACCAGCGGGGTAACTTAGACCACTTTTCGTTTTTTTTAACAAAAACCCCCACAACTCAAAAACTATTTGACATAGAAAAATTTTATCAATGGGCATTAAGGCCTAATACTGAGGCCACATAACACAATAGAAAGAATTGAAAAGTTTGCATATCTACCGTAAAATGGGGTAACTTAGACCACTTTTTTTCTTATAAATGATGCCATTTTCTTACTAGCTAAATCAAACTTGAATTGAAACATGCAAAATACAGGTCTATACTCTAGCTTCACTCACCATAAATTGATGGCTCCTGCCTTTTTATGGTGAGTGAAGCTAGAGTATAGACCTGTATTTTGCATGTTTCAATTCAAGTTTAATTTAGCTAGTAAAAAAATGGCATCATTTATAAAAAAAGTGGTCTAAGTTACCCCATTTTACGGTAGGTACTATTAGTTGTGTTTTCTTTAATTTTAAGTGATCATCTTTAGCAAATATGGGAAACATGAATACTTTAATTAAATAAAGACTGCCATTAGTGAGTTAAAACGTGGAAACGATGTAGTGTTTCTAAGTTGCTAATTAGTGAATTACTACCACTCCTTCAATTCAAATGCAGCAAATGTCTTAGCAAAAAAGACGTTTTGGTTGCTACTGTATTTTCAATTTCCTGAACTACTTCAAGTACAAGATGTCATGAAATATTTTATGTATGACAATGCTGGTATCCAACTTAATCCAAAATACATAATTTTTCAATTGTAGCACTAAACATTCGTCAGAAACTGAAAAAGGAAGGGCAATAAAGTCTCTCCACTCTCCTTACTCTCTCAGAGTAAACTAACAGCTCATCAGCAATAACTAAATATGGCTTATACTATTTACTCTTAACATAATGGTATCGAATTAAATATCAAAAATCATTCATTGAACCTATTCGTTACATCAGCTTTCAAGTTAGGGAGAAACTTAATGGCAATTGGAGAAACTTATTGAAGAAAAGGCACTGCACAACATGACACTTGACTGACTAGAGTACTCTAAAATTTAGCACTTAAACCTCCAGATTTTGTGACATTATTAGAAATTTAGAAGGCTCACAATATATCACTTAAAATTTTCACACAATTAATTTCTCAAAGCTTATGAATAAAACCTATGGAGTATAGAACTGAGGTGTGCACTGATCAGTGTGTGCAGGAGCTTATCTGCAGTTAATGCACTTCAGTTACCACATCCTCCAGTCGTTTAATGAAGACTAACCATCATTAGATTTGAGGCTGTGCCAAAAGTCTTCCCGCTACCTTGTTTGCTGCACACGATTGATTCTGCATGCACATATAACATTCACAAAGGTAATTAAATCATTCTGTTGAATGTCAGTTACCAAAAAATTTGTAACATAGAAGAATTTGTAGCTAAATTATAATCAGTCCATTGATATTGTGTACATGTGAGGGTGGCCCATTCTAGTTTCTAATGCTGATTGGATTCCAGTGGCTGTGATGTTACACCCGTTCTGATGCTGATCGTCTTCTTGTGACTGTGACGTTGCACACTTTCTAGCAATGATTGGATTCCTATGACTGCTACATTGCATGCATTTCCCATTGAAAAAAAGGGACATAAGACAAACTAGTATGTCTGTTAATGAATAACACAGGATGTTTTGGCTGCTAGAAATTGCCACTAATTAGGCAGGAAGCTTACAATAATAATACAATTCTAAATGAACTCTGTCTTGCAGTCCGGGAACCAAAATCCACAGAAAGTTCTAAGTGGAAAGCAATGACTGAATGAGTGACAAGCATCTGCTGAATGCCTGACGAGCCTGGCACAATGTTCATGCTCGTTGTGGAGCTTGGGAAACAAATCTTACGTGAATGTAACTGATGCGTGAATAAACAGCTGTGCTTATCTCAGTAAAAATATGACTTGGCAACTTAATCACACTCAAACTTAACACATTAAGTGCGGGGCTGAAACTGCTGACTGCCTGCTGGTGCGGCTATGTTTGGGTTGCTATAGCGTCAGTGCCTGTCCAGATATCGAAGAGGGAGGTTGTGTATGTGTGTTTCTCAATATGCTCTACATGTTAGGGCAATAAAATTCACGACCCACATGTGGGTCGTTTCGCAGCAGAGTGTGAGATTTATCATGTCACTGCGGCACGACCCACATATGGGTCTTGCGACAATTGGCTGATAAATTTATTTTGCCATATTTTCTTATTTCACAACTCACTGTCATGTATTTTCAGACCGTACATGATGGAAACTTCTAGTTTTTATGGTGGTTCTTAGAAAACGAAACGTGATGAACTTTCTTCCGACAGTGATGATCCCATTCCATCAGATGACACGTTCTCACCAGAGAGGACCGATGGTTCAGAGTGTGATGAATTGAATGATGAAAGTGATTTAGATGGTGAAATTAGTGATGACAACAATAAAGGAAATGATATTCAAGCAATAGAAGGTCAGACAGAGCATAGAAGGGAAAATCTGGCCTATTGATGCTTACTCCTTTTTTTGACACATCCAATCATAGAATTGATAGTTTGTGAAACAAATTATTATGCAGAGCATTCGTGAGCACAACCAAATCTAACAAGGAACTCAAGACTGAATTGCTGGACGCCAACTTTATTTTACAGAAATAAAAAAATTTGTAGGAATCATCCGGTACATGGGACTGAATCCTCAATATTCCATGAAATCTCAATGGTTGAAAAGTGTTCTATTTGAGAGATGTGATCGTGAGATAATGGTCACAGACAGATTTTTTATTCTACTGAGGACCCTTCATTTCAATTATTCAGGCCCTCCAACGCCCTCCTCCTCTTAATCCTCCTAATCTTCAATAAATAGTGCAGTGGGTGGCACAAATGGTCAATCGTAAAATTCAGAGAATCTCATTTTTTCACTCTTTTATGGATATCCGATGGAAAAACCATCTAAAAAAACAGGCGGCAAGACAAGTGCCCATCGCTCGTACGAAGCTCCTGGCTCGGAAGGCAAGACAAGAAAGCGCTGTGTGGGATGCTATAAAATGGTTTCCCAGTCAGAAGGATCAAAAGTTGAAGAAAGAAAGGCCAAAAAGTATCAACATTTTGTGAAGGATGCTCTGGAAAACCATTTTTATGTGCTGGTCACGTTTCAGTTCAAAACATCACTAATTTGTGGGTATTTTTCTCAAATTAAAAACTTGCAACTGGAAATAATATATATGTTTTATTTGGCACTTATATAAATTAGTAAAACTCATTTTCTATCATTTCAAACTTTTATTTTATGATACTAACACAAATACTATGCTGTATATTTTAATGAAACTAATTTTATGGGCTCTTATCCATATTTGTATTATTTTTTAAACGACCCACCAGTGGGTCGTTTCGCAGCAGAGGGATATCGGCTACGACCCACCGGTGGGTCGTGCCACACTTAACATGTTAAATCTACCAAGTGACGATTTGTGGTTGTTTTTCTTTACTACTGTTTGTGTGGCTGCATGATATAACATATTTTCACAATTTTGAAGCATCACTCTAAGTTTTCAAAGTTTTAAATATTAACTAAGTTTTATTCTACTATATAAATTGATCATATCTGACGCGCTTTTTCTGGCAGTTTTCCTTCTTAACATATGCTACTCCGTGGTATGAAGTATAAATGTACACAAACGTATTTCATGATTTGGATCCCTGTGGCAGTGTGTGATTTTGTTTATGCATCTTAAATTTTAATGAGAAACCTTGGTATTTCTTCAAAAATTTGGTCAAGCAATGCCAATAAGGGGTACTTGTAACAAGTTGTACTACTTTAACTTTATTATTTTTAATTAAATAAGGACAGTGATACCGTCAACCGGGGCTACTCGGGACGATTCCAAACGTTTTTCATTCATAACTTCTTACCATGAAACATTTCATAAACAAGTTCAGGCTCATTTCAAAGCTCTTCGCAAGAGCTATCACATGACTTCTCCAAAAAAATTCCATATGCTATTCGTAAGGTGTCAGAAGCAAAAAAATAGTGTCCCGAGTAGCCCCGTCGAATGGGGCTACTTGGGACACTTGAAATAAAGTTCATTTTAGAACATTTGAAGCATGCTGCGTATACCTACTCATCCATTACTAACAGTACTCTGAAGTCCTCCTCTTTCATTGTAGATGATGTAGAGGTAGAATAAATGACATTTTCTGTGATTTTTACTAGTTTTTCCTTTATTGATATGTTATTACCATATACATTAATTACCATATTATTGATGCGATATTACCGTATTATTGAATATTGATGTGATATTACTGTATCCATGAACATGCCATTGAGCATTTACAACAACCTTGTCCACTGCAAGCTTTATATCAGCAGCCTTATAGCATTTTTTCTGTATCTGTAAGCTTACAGGACGGCTTGTAATTTCACACCATTTTAATTGGGTTAAGTGAATTTACTATAAAAAAAGATTGTGAAAAACATACCTGAAACA